AAGTCAGGGAGCGTAATCCCCCCAGCTTTATTCTTCCTTCTCAGGATTGCTTTGGCTATTCAGGGTCTCTTGTGGTTCCATATGAATTTTAGAACTATTTGCTCTAGTTCGTTGAAGAATGCTGTTGGTATTTTGATAGGGATTGCAATGAATCTATGATTGCTTTAGGCAGGATGGCCATTTTGACAATATTAATTCTTCCTACCCATGAGCATGGGATGTGTTTCCATTTATTGGTATCTTCTTTAATTTCTCTCATGAGTGTCTTGTAGTTTTCAGGGTATAGATCTTTCACTTCCTTGGTTAGGTTTATTCCTAGATATTTTATTCTTTTTGATGCAATTTTGAATGGAATTGTTTTCCTGATTTCTGTTTCTGCTAGTTCATCATTAGTGTATCAGAATGCAACAGATTTCTGTGTATTAATTTTGTATCCTGCAACTTTGCTGAATTCAGGTATTAGATCTAGTAGTTTTGGAGTGGATTCTTTAGTATTTTTTATGTACAATGTCATGTCATCTGCAAATAGTGACAGTTTAACTTCTTGTTTACCAATCTGGATGCCTTTTATTTCTTTGTGTTGTCTGATTGCCGTGGCTGGGACCTCCAGTACTATGTTGAATAAAAGTGGGGAGAGTGGGCATCCTTATCTTGTTCCCGATCTTAAAGGATAAGCTTTCAGCTTCTCACTGTTAAGTATGATATTGGCTGTGGGTTTGTCATATATGGCCTTTATTATGTTGAGGTACTTGCCCTCTATACACATTTTGTTGAGAGTTTTTATCATGAATGGATGTTACATTTTGTCGAATGCTCTTTCAGCATCTATGGAGATGATCATGTGAGGTCATCTCTTTATAATATTTTCCTCCTATATTCTGAGGCTCTACTAGATTATTATGAACTATTCTATCTGCTATGACTGTTTTAGATACAACTTATAAAAACAGAATTTAATTATGCTGAGTATTTATTATGTGTCAGGCACTGTTTTAAGTGCTTTACTCATTTATTCGTTATCATCATTTAATCCTGTCATCCACTTATGATGCAGATACTGTTATTATCTTTCATTTTAAAAGATGAGAAAAGTGAGTCGCAGATAACTTGCCCAAAGTCACATTGCAAGTGGCAGCTTTAGGATTCAAACCTAGATCTTGTAGTCCAGAGCCTATGATATTGGCCAGGGGGTGTGGCCTAGTTAATAAATGCTTATAAGGTTTGCTAAGGTGGGTGTGAATTTAAATATGACAATAGCCAAATATCTCCTGAAAAAAGTCACCATAGTTAATGTATTTCTGCTTGCTGTGGGAAGAAAAATTTAAAATCACATGTCTTAAGTCTGGGAAAAATGATGAGAGATGATTATTCATAAATAATTTTTTTTCTTGACCTTATTTAAATGAATACATCTGTCTTGGTTTATTGTGTATCATTTGTAGTAGACAAAAACCTCCTGAACTTAAGGAACAGTATGTACATGTTTAGAAGGGATTAGAGTGAGTTGATTTGTAGATTTCCATTTAGCTGCTATTGGTAGAAGGATACAGACAGGAAGGTTGAACTGTGCAACAGTTTGGAACTGATTGGTAATTGGAAATTGTTCTTTTGTCCTGTTAAGTAATATTTGAATGACAGTCAGCAGAAGGTTGTGTATGAGAAGAAAAAGCCAGAGAAAGGTGACTTATAGGTCCTATAATTAGAATGTCACTTATAAATGATGGTCTAAAGAGTAAATGTACATTAACAGTCGACATTTATATAGGAACTGGAAGGAGTTATAGTATGTGGTTTTTGTTCTGGGATCTGTCTTGTCATATGGAAGCACTGGCTTTTCTTTTTTTCAAATAGCAGCACTTCATTTCCTGTTGAAATACAGTAAAGTACAAAGAGTATGTGACATTTAAAGTAACAAGTATGCTGATGAAATGTCTTTGCTTTCCTGTAAGGTGTGGCTACATATAGTTGGCGATGTTTTCTTCTCTCTGCATCTTTTTTTTAAACTCCATATCCTTTTTTGAGAATCCCTTATGAATGTTCATCAGAGTTATGGCTCTTAGTATATATGTCCTTTACAACAGTGTCTTAAAGGGTTGTCCAGGGCCCCTGAGACTCTTATGAACAAAACTGTGAGATTTATGAATAAAACTATGGTCATAAC